ACCAATCTCAACAGACATTTTGGGGAACACTGTAGAGTAAGCAAAGGTCACCAGAAACTATAAAGTAACCAGAAAGCATTTTCCTTGGAGGCTGGTGGGTGGGCATTGAGGAACTCCAAAGAGGAACTGCTAAAATGTTTTTCCCTCCTTTTCTAGGGATAGTCTCTGTATCTTACAGACATGCTTTATATTTAAACCCGCACTTGTCTGAGAAGAGGGAAACTGTTGCATCCTAGTTTCACTTACAACTCTGAGATGAGAGGTGAGATTTGTCATGGCTGAATTTAAGGGACTGTGTCCTTAAGTAAAAGCTTCTTCTGGTCACCCCTCAAGTAAAGCTTCAGAAAGGCTTAGGCATTTGTGAAGAAACAGCATGAGAAGAAACCAAAAGACAGTAAACTTACACAAAGAAGGTCTGATTTATGTAGAAAAAGTTTCTACTTTTAAACAGAGAAATCAATACCTACCCTCAAAGCCTGTGTTTCCTAAAGAAATGTTAGAGTGACAAGGAGGTCAATAAAATAAATTCTTCAATCTGGTTCTTAAAAAGAGATTCTAAGCCTCTTTTAAAACTTCTGAAAGATGCTCACAGCAACAAATACAATGAGTGAAACTTGATTAGATTTGGGTTCTTCACAAAAGACATTCTTGTGATAATTGGGGAAATTCAAATATGGGTAAAAGTTAGGTGATTTAAAGGATTAGTGTTAATTTTTATAGATATTATAATGTTATTGGGATTATGCAAAAGTTTCTAGGAGTGAAATGTGGGTATCTAGAATGTAAATATGATAAAATGTTAATAATAAATATGTCAATAAATTCCCATTGCAAATTCTATGTCCCAAAGAAGCCCCTTGCACCATTACAAATTACGATATTAAATACAATTTTGCATGACTGGTAATTGCGTTGACCTATATAACTTCACTTGTTTTAGCAGAATTTCCCTGGACAACGTACACATGTCATAAGTAAGAAATCACTAGTACTCAACTTCAAAAAGTTGCTTGGAGCATCTCAGGCTGGGGATATAACAAGGCATACAAGGGAATGGGTTTTGATTAAGACAGAATCAAAGTTCAAGTTCACTCTGCCACTTACTAGCTGCGTGAACTTAGACACATTACTAAACCCACCTAAGCTTTGTTGTCCTATTAAATGTTCCCTATGTAATAATATTAGTGTGAAAATTAAATAAAAACATCTCAAATCTGAAGCACAGCTCCTGACACAGAGCATGTGCTTACTTCCTAGCAGCTATTATTTACACTCTGTTATAACACTGGCCTAGTTTTCCTACAGGAGCACACAACACTATTTTAACTTGGATTATCTTTGCTAAATTAAGAAAAAAAAGAAGACTGTCTAAATCTTGACTGCAGCAAAGCACATGAACAAGTCTCACATGTGAGATAATTTCAAATGAAGAAATGTTTGACAAATACATTGTCATCTAATACCCAGATTTAACAATCTGTGCTACTAAAAAAACCAGACCAGTGTAAGGAAATTTTTTTTTAAATGATACATGACTTGACTCCTGCATATAAGGAACCCAAATCTAGTTATGAAGATAGTCGGCAATAAAGGATCCGTGAAATGTCAATGACAGAATAAGACAGACTCTGTTAATAATAAAATAGTTCCTACCTTTTTAATTTTTAATTTTTATTTTTGTTCTGTTACCCAGGCTGAAGTGCAATGGTGTAATCACGGATCACTGCAGCGTCAAACTCCCAAACTCAAGCAATTCCCAGGCTCACCTAGCCTCCCAAGTAGCTGGGACTACAGGTGTGCACCACCACACCTGGCTAATTTTTTGTAGAGATGGGGTATATTAGTTCATTCTTGCACTGCTAATAATGACATACCCGAGACTGGATAATTTATAAAGGAAAGAGGTTCAATGGACTTATAGTTCCACATGGCCAGGGAGGCCTCACAATTATGGCAGAAGGCAAAAAAGAAGCAAAGTCACATCTTACATGGTGGCAGGCAAGAGACAGCATGTGCAGGGGAACTCCCCTTTATAAAACCATCAGATCTTGTGAGACTTATTCACTACCACAAGAACAGTATGGGGGAAACAACCCTCATGATCCAATTATCTCTACCTGGCCCTGCCCTTGACACACAGGGATTATTACAATTCAAGGTGAAATTTGGGTGGGGACACATCCAAACCATATCATTCCACCCTGGCCCCTCCCAAATCTCATGTCCTCACATTTTAAAACACAATAATGCCCTTCCAACATGCCCTCAAAATCTTAACTTATTCCAGCATTAATCCAAAAATCTAAATCCAAAGTGTCATCTGAGATAAGGCAAGTTCCTTCCACCTATGAGCCTATAAAATCAAAAGCAAGTTAGTTACTTCCTAGATACAATGGAGGTCCAGGCACTGAGTAAATACATCCATTCCAAATGGGAGAAACTGCCCAAAACAAAAGGGCTACAGGCCCCATGAAGTCCGAAATCCAATACGGCAGTCATCAAATCTTAAAGTTCCAAAATGATCTCCTTTGACTCCATGTCTCACATTCAGGTGATGCAAGAGGTGGGCTCCCATGACCTTGGGCAGCTTCACCCCTGTGGCTTTGAAGGGTACAGCTATCCTCCTGGCTGCTTTCATGGGCTGTCATTACGTGTCTGTGTCTTTTCCGGGTGCACGGTGCAAGCCATCAACGGATCTACCATTTTGGGGTCTGGTGGATGATGACCCTCTTCTCACAGCTCCACTAGGCAGTGCCCCAGTGGGGACTCTGTGTGGGGGCTCCAACTCCACATTTCCTTCCACACTGCCCTAGCAGAGGTTCTCCATGAGGGCCCCACTCCTGCAGCAAACTTTTGCCTGGACAGCCAGGCATTTCCATACATCCTCTGAAATCTAGGCAGAGGTTCCCAAACCTCAATTCTTGACTTCTATGCACCCACAGGCCCAACACCATGTGTAAGCCACCAAGGTTTGGGGCTTACACCCTCTAAAACAACAGCCTGAGTGGTATGTTGGCCCCTTTTAGTCATGGCTAGAGCTAAAACAGCTGGGATGCAGAGCACTATGTTTGGAGGCTGCATAGAGCAGGGCGGCCCTGGGCCCAGCCCATGAAACTATTTTTTTCCTTCCCAAGCCTCCAGGCCTGTAATAGGAGGGGCTGCCATAAAGGTTTCTGATATGCCCTAGAGACATTTCCCCATTGTCTTGGTGATTAACATTTGGTTTCTCATTACTTATGCAAATTTCTACAGCTGGCTTGAATTTCTCCTCAGAAAATAGGTTTTTCTTTTCTATCACAATATCAGCCTGCAAATTTTCTGAACGTTTATGCCCTGCTTCCCTTTTAAACATAAGTTCCAATTCCAAATCATATCTTTGTGAACATATAAAACTGAATGCTTTTAACAGCACCCAAGCCACCCCTGAATGTCTGGCTACTTAGAAATTTCTTCCACCACATGTCCTAAATCATTTCTCTCAAATTCAAAGTTCCACAGATTGGGCACAGACAAAATGCTGCCAGTCTCTTTACTAAAAATAGTAAGAGTCATCTTTATTCCAGTTTCCAACAAATTCTTCAACTCTATTTGAGATGAGCAGCATTTGGTCAAAGCCATTCAACAAGTCTCTAGGATGTTGCAAACTTTCCCGCATCTTCCTGTCTTCCACTGAGTCCTCCAAACTGTTCTAATCCCTGCCTGTTACCCAGTTCCAAAGTTGCTTCCACATTTTCAGGTATCTTTGCAGCAGCACCCCACTACCCAGTACCAATTTACTGTATTAGTCCATTCTCATGCTGCTAATAAAGACATACCCAAGACTGGGTAATTTATAAAGGAAAGAGGTTGAATGAACTCACAGTTCCATGTGGCCAGGGAGGCCTCCTAATCATGTGAGGGAGACCTCACAATTATGGCAGAAGACAAAGAAGAAGCAAGGCATGTCTTACGTGGCAGCAGGCAAGAGAGAGCTTGTGCAGGGGATCCCCCATTTATAAAGCCATCAAATCTTATGAGACCTATTCATTATCTGAGAACAGTATGGGGGAAACTGCCCTCATGATTCAATTATCTCTACCTGGCCCTGCCCTTAACATATGGAGATTATTACAATTCAAGGTGAGATTTGGGTGGGGACACAGAGCCAAACCATATCATGGAGTTTCAACATGTTGCTCAGGATGGTCTCAAACTCCTGGGCTTAAGATATCTGCCTGCCTCAGCCTCTCAGTGCTAGGATTACAGGCTTGTGCCACCATACTCAGCCCAGTTCATGTTTTTGAGCTCTTACTACTTGCCCAGCACTACCCAGGCCCTATCCACATTTCATTCCACTGACGCAAGCCCACATCAAATCCTGCCAGCTCCACCTTTAAAACACATCCAGGCATCTCTCATCCCCAATACTTACCTTCCTGCATTGCCCCTGCAGCCTAGCCAATCTCCCTGCTCTTCATTTTCTCTCCTCTACATACTGTTCATTCAGCAGCCAGAATAATTCTTTTAAACACCCAAGTCATCATAATTTCACTCCTGTTCAAAATCTTTCAAAACTTTCCATTCACTGAAAGCAAAAAGGCCACAATCTTTAAAAGGCCCTTCAAAACTTCATCTACAGGATCCAATCCCAACTACTTTTATAACTTCATTGTCTACCACTCTCTGCCACAATGGTCTCCTTAAAGTTTCTTAAATGCTTGAAGCCTATCTCAGGGTCCTGACTAGTATACCTGGAATACCACTCCCCCAGATAGCCTTGTGGCCTAGCTCTCACTTCCTTAAGTGTATGGTCAACTGTCACCCTATTAAACAGACCCTCCCTGACCACACCATGCAATACTAACAAGAATAGAGTAGCTGAATTAGCTATCATATCGTCACCCTACGGGGGACTATGCAGCTGTGAAAAAGAATGAGGTGATCTCTATGAAGTGATAGGGAATGATTTTGCAGATGTACGGTTAAATGACAAAAATGACATACAAAAAATAGAGTGTTACCTTGTTTAAGAAGGGCAGTTAGAAAGAAAAAGAATCCAAGTAACTTTTGAATATAGTATTGCATACATCTTCACTGGGATACACAGATTTTCCTTGACTTATTATGGAAGTATATCCCAAAAAACTCATTGTAGAGTTGAAAAATCTTAGGTTGAACCATTGTTAAGCTGGATACTATCTATAATGAAAAACAAAAAGAACTGTAAACAAATCTGTAACTGTAACTAGTAAGTTTGTAGTGGGTAATATATTGGTATAGCAACTGTAAAATGAGTTGGGGTTTAATGTAGATTAGGGAAATCTACTGACGCTATTAAGAACAGAATTCTCACTGTGGGAGTAAGGAGATACAAATATGGAACAGCAGAAGAGGCAGAAGAACTGAACGGCAAGATTATAAGTGTTAGAAGTATCACCGTGAACTCCTGACTTTGTAAAAACTCTATTTCTTAAATTTGAAAACTGAAAGAGCTGAGGAGCAATGACTCTGGTACCCATGAGCACACCTAGCACCCAGAACTTGATGTCTACATACCTTCTCTCACTAAAAGAAACCAGGAAACGTAATGATTTGAAGGCTGGGGCAGGAAAATGAGTCCAGAACATCCCTCTGTGCCAGAAAATAAGAAAGTGTTTAAAATCAAACAGTAATGCAGCAAAAGGACTCTGAAGCTTGAAGGGGCTCCCACTTGTCAAATGTGGGGTCGCTGAGCACCAAAAAGGATGACAGGAATGCCATCTTTAAAAAGAATCCATGAGTCCACACAACCTTCGAAAATAAAAGAAAAAAGGGAGGATGTGTGTACAAAAGCTATTCATTACTGAAGAATATAAACTAATCCATACAGAAAAACAGAATAGAAAATTGCTGGGTGGCTCATGCCTGTAATCCCGACATTCTGGGAAACTGGCTCAGAAGGATTGTTTGAGCCCAGGAGTTTAAGACCAGCCTGGGCAACATGGTGAAATCCGGTCTCTAAAAAAATGCAAAAAAATTAGCTGGGCGTGGCAGTATGTCCCTGTAGTCCCAGCTACCTGGAAACAGGTGGGAGGATTGCTTGAGTCTGGGAGATCAAGGTTGCAGTGAGCCATAATTGTTTCACTGTACTCTAGTCTGGGCAGCAGAGTGAGACTCTATCTCAACAGAAAAGAAAAGAGAGAAGAAAATGAAAGAAAGAAGGGAAGAAGAAAAAAGGGAGGAAGGGAGGAAAAGGGAGGAAGGGAGGGAGGGAGAGAGAGAGGAAGGGAGGGAGAGAAAGAAAATTACCATTTGAAAATATTTTAGTGGCTGGGCATGGTGGCTCAGGCCTGTAATCCCAGCACTTTGGTAGGCCAAGGAGGGAGGATCACTTGAGCCCAGGAGTTTACAACCAGCCTGGGGCCGGGCACGGTGGCTCACGCCTATAATCCCAGCACTTTGGGAGGCCGAGGCGGGTGGATCATGAGGTCAAGAGATCGAGACAATCCTGGTCAAATAGTGAAACTCCATCTCTACTAAAAATACAAAAATTAGCTGGGCATGGTGATGCGCACCTATAGTCCCAGCTACTCAGGAAGTTGAGGCAGGAGAATTGCCTGAACCCAGGAGGCGGAGGTTGCGGTAAGCCGAGATCGCACCACTGCACTCCAGCCTAGGTAACAAGACCGAAACTCCATCTCAAAAAAAAAAAAAAAAAGGCCGGGCGCGGTGGCTCAAGCCTGTAATCCCAGCACTTTGGGAGGCCAAGGCGGGTGGATCACGAGGTCAAGAGATCGAGACCATCCTGGTCAACATGGTGAAACCCCGTCTCTACTAAAAATACAAAATATTAGCTGGGCATGGTGGTGCGTGCCTGTAATCCCAGCTACTCAGGAGGTTGAGGCAGGAGAATTGCCTGAACCCGGGAGGCGGAGGTTGCAGTGAGCCGAGATCGCGCCATTGCACTCCAGCCTGGGTAACATGAGTGAAACTCTGTCTCAAAAAAAAGACCAGCCTGGGCAACATAGGGAAACCTTGTTTCTACAAAAAATAAAAGAAGAATTAGCCCAGCATGGGCATGTACCTGTAGTCCTGGCTACTCAGAAGGCTGACGCAGGAGGACTGCTTGAGCCTCAGAGGTCAAGGCTGGAGTGAGCTGTGATCGCACTCCTGTACTCCAGCCTGGGTGACATAGTGAGACGCTGTCTCAAAAAATAAAATAAAATATTTTAGTGATATTGGATTCTGGGAAGAATCACCATAGGATACTAAAACCATTGAATGAACAATGGCTGGAGAACAGGATATTCGCTAAACTTCAAAACATCACTTACTACATCATTTATTACTTACAAAGGGAAAATCGTGTCTCTACAATGGAGAAATCTGGTAAACTTTACTTTAACCAAATAGTCAAAGTTAACATCTCTAATAATGCGACAAACAGACCATGTCTGCTTCCTGACGCGACACACTGGAAGGACCCAACATAACTATGAAGTATTCCTGCTTCATAGTTACAACTAGAATCTTATCATGAGGAAACATGCAGGCAATCCACATCCAAGGGACATTCTGTAAAGCAACCAGCTCAGAGGCTTTAAAAATGATGATGTCATAAAGTACCAAAAAAAAAAAAAAAAAAAAAAAAAAAAAAAAAAAAAAAAAAAAAAAAAAAAACACCCAACAGTTTTAGGTTAAAAGGGATTAAAGAGGCATGATTACCAAATGAAGTACGTGGTACAGGACTGGCTTCTGGGTTTTCTACCAGAAAACAGTATTGTATCAATGCCATATATCCAGACTATAATGATTCTGTGACTTGCTGGAGAAAGCTCTTGTTCTCATGAGACATATACTCAAGAATTAGAGGTGAGGTGTCATGAGGTCTGAAACTCTCAAATGGTTTAGCAAAAATAAGAGATGTGTGTGTACAAAGAAAACTAATGTGACAGTTAACTTGTGATTCAAGGAGAAAGTATGCAAATGTTCCCTACACTAATTTCACGACTGTCGTAAAGATTTTACATATTCTAAAATTTTTAAAAAAATGAATTGAAATATTAACAACTTCCATTCCTACTTCTTTGCTTTGCTCATCTCTACACTAGTAAGTGTTTACTTTATCACCATCCGGCATCCACGTTTTCACTCATTTACGTACTGCCTCTCTCCCTCAGTATAAGGTGAGCTTCACAAAGGCAGGGAACTGTGCGTATCTTGCTGTATCCCCCATCCATTGTTCAGTGCTTAACATATAATTGACACTCAGTCAATAGTCACTGAATGACTTATGTTCCTAGTAATTCTATTAAGTGGGTTTATTATTATCCTTTCCCTCAGGTTGAGTGGTGTTCTCTTCAAAAGTGAAGGTACTGAAGTGAACAGAAGTTAGGGAACTCACAAAAGTTCATGACTTAGGTGAGGAGTGGGGCCAGGACCCAAAGGCAGGCATCTGATGATGAACAGTATCAGCTGTTAATTACTGTGTCTGCAGCTTCCCCATTGAGGCAGGCTTAGGCCCCCAAAAATAAATACATGCTCGCTGAATGAAATGACTTCTGAATGAATACATGAATTAGGTGAGAGAGACACCTAGGAAGGGACAGATAGTTCAAATAATCTTCTATTGGAGGTGGAGCTTGGGCAAACTGGGTTTGCAGTGGAAGGGAGAACACAGGTATAGGCAGCAGTGACCCAAGGTGCCAGGAAATGAGGGACCAGCTTGCCTGGAGGAGTTACCCATTCATTCAACTAATCCCTGTGTGTATCTCTTCTTCCTTTCCCCAGCCACCAGCACACGAACTCCCCGAAGCTCTTTGGACCCTGTGATGGTAGTCCACCCTGGCCTCCTGGCCTCCCTGTCTCCAGTTCCTCCTGACTGCACCGTTCCTCTTTGTTGCTGACAGATTATTCTTTGCCGGTTCATGGTTCTGATCCTGTAAGGCCCAGGAACACAGAAGAGAATTCAGACTCCCAAAGGGGACACTTAGCATTCTTTTCCCACATTGTCACATGTCCACACACCACCAGTCCTTGAAGGCCTGGTTCAAATATCCTTCCTCCCAGGAAGACTTCACAACAAAAAGGCACTTGATTTCACAAAAGAGACTGCCTTCTTCTCCCCTCTGTACTCCCACAGCTCAGACATCTCCTTTTTTTTGAGACAGGTTATATTCTGACCCAGGCTAGAGTTCAGTGGTGCAATCACAGCTCACTGGATCCTCTGCCTCTGGGACTCAGGTGGTTCTCCTATCTCAGCGTTCGGAGCTGAGCTGGAACTACTGGTATGCACCACCACACTCAGCTAATTTTTATATATATATATTTTTTTTTTTTTTTTTGAGACAGAGTTTCGCTCTTGTTACGCAGGCTGGAGTGCAATGGCGCGATCTCGGCTCACCGCAACCTCCGCCTCCTGGGTTCAAGCAATTCTCCTGCCTCAGCCTCCCGAGTAGCTGGGACTACAGGCGTGCACCACCATGCCCAGCTAATTTTTGTATTTTTAGTAGAGACGGGGTTTCACCATGTTGACCAGGATGGTCTCGATCTCTTGACCTCGTGATCCACCCGCCTCGGCCTCCCAAAGTGCTGGGATTACAAGCGTGAGCCACCGCGCCTGGCCAATTTTTATATTTTTTATAGAGTTGATCTTTCACCATGTTGGCCCCGCTGGTCTCCAATTCCTGGCAAGTAAGTGATCTGCCCGCCTCAGTCTTCCAAAGTGTTGGGAATACAGGTGTGAACTACCACGCCCAGCCTAGGCCTCTCTTACATCACTCACTTCTTTACGTGATCATGCAGGTAGTTTCGAGCCTATCTCAGCCCCTCCCCTTTCGCTGTCATCCACAGATGGACTTCCCCGGCTGGCAGTGGACGCTGAGCAAATGGATGGACGGCCTGGAAGGCTGGCAGTGGGGTGCAGGGGCCCGCCATGGGAACCCCTCAAGTACAGGTGATCTCGCTGGGAGGTCACTGCTGTACGCCCCGAGGTTCGGCTACGGCCTGACTGGGGCCAGTGTGTGGAGGGTGGAGGACAGCAGGGAGGCAAACACGGGGAGAAAGGGACCTATATCCTGGGGTGGTTGTGACGACTTGGCTGACACACGGTGAGGACGGGCACAGCGCTGACACTAACTTTTAGGCTTTGAGGGGAGGAGAAAAGAGCAGGAGTCGCACCACTTAGGAATCCCAACGTGATGCCGCTGCCTACCGGCCCCTCCTCCCCGCTCCT